GGTACACTTTAAATCGAATTATGTATGTATTTATGGAAAATTCGTGTAGGTTGACAACGTGATGTCACGTTACATCCGCGTTACTTAAACGCATATAACATGTACATCGTTAAACAGGGGTCATGTGACTCGATAAATATTAAACTCTGATGATTTTCATTTGCGGATATTGTCTATGGAAACATTTTTTAAATTCAAACTAAATCATTACCATGTAATGAAATATATCCTAGTTATGTTTGCAGTGTCATGGCTGCTGTCGGCTCGACATGTAAAATGGACCTGGCCAAGCGACATTCGGACCCTGTCCACTCTTTGTAGACCTCCTGGTACAGATGGTTTGTCCTGAAACAGTGGCTCCATCAACCCTTTGTTCTTTCACAACTACACCATGAATGTCTCGTCCTGACTTTATATTAATTCATACAGATAAATATGAAGAAAAAAAACATTTTTTACAAAGGACTGGGGCGTTATAGAATATTTGGTAAACGAACACCATTTTCCAGAAAATTTAAGATATTTTTCAGAATTGAGCTAATTGAAAATACTGAATAGATTGCGCCTGATAATCATCCTTTGATACAAAGAAAAGGCTTCAATTCGAAACAATAACATGGCTTTTTCACCACAGAACCGTTTCTATTTTTGTTTAACACTTAACTGGCAGTGGACAGTGAGGGGTATTAAATGTCTGAATTAAGCCCGCTAACTTGTTTGTTCAGGCATCAGACTGCCCATTACACTGACCAGAACACCGGCCAAGGACCTGTCACAACTGGACGAACAAGTCCACCGGCAACTTCTGCTTCCTTATAAGGGATGAAGGCGGCTTAGCAATGTCCGTGTGTTTAATCCCGTGGTGAAAGAACTCCATTTATAGCATATTGTTGTCGTGAAACGATTGACTTAGTATATTACTCGGGATGAATCAATAATACATCAAAAGAATACAATAAAAATTGTGTTATTTCAAAATCGTATGTAATTAACATCATTACACAAATACTAACGGAGAAACGCAACTGGAAATGGTGACTATTAAAAGAATTGGTGAAAATGAAAAATAAAATTGGTAGTTTCATTTAAATTTTCATGTTTGTTTTTTCCTAATTGTTGGTTTCCCTCCTTTGTTGGTCATTATAAAGCAATAAAGCATCGCCTATTTCTGTCATCCGAGTATCGACAAAGTTGCAAGGACTTTGTCGGTAACAGATCAGAAACATATTAGTAATCGCTTTAACTGATTAGGTTCAAAACAGCAAGCCTCTCTACCATCCCTTAAAACGGGGGATTAACATCTTGGACCTGTAAGGTGGAGGTCAAGATGCTTACTGACCAGCTCCTATTGTGGACAAGACCGCTAGATCTAATCCCTCATACCCTACTTTTGTTCGCCGGATCTTAATAGATGTATTTAAAGAAATTAATCTGAAAATCAAGGTATACCACAGCCAAATTGTGTTCAATTTTGATATATTAGCGGATAAACAGACCTGGATTATCACTGGTGCAGGCTCGTTACAGACGACCAACAGGTTATAACAGTTTGACTATCAAGTACCTACAATATATACAGTTATAAAAATGATGTTGTACGAACATCAAAGATATTTTAACAAACATATATATAATAGGGACATGGATTTGTACCATTACAGTTTTATATTTGCGTGACAGTACAGTTTTTATATAAAAAGAATGTTCTATTCCCTCCAAAACGGACCAAATATCAAAATTACCTTTCTTACTTGTTATAAATAATTAATCATTCTTCTACAGATAACAAAGGCTTTATTTACATAATTGTTTAGAAAATTGATTGATACGGTGGTATTTCTATTAACCCGCAATCATTCGGCCATTAAAACACAGTCGAGATGTTGATTTTATTGTTTTTTGTCACGAGCTACATCCCAGCCACTGCAGCACCAGACATTTCCCGCCACAGAGCGTGCACGACCGGTGTGCTATTCCAACACCGGAAGCAGACAACATCTGCTGCAGTCTATCCTTGCGTCTGTGTAATGCAATCTTATGCACGCAACGGTATCACGCGACGTGTGACCCACTGCCTTGAAGAGCGATAAGGATGACGAGGACAAAAGAGGGAGTGACGAGATGTTGAAATGCTGATAAACAGAAGGTCAACATTTCGGTCACCACGAAGTCAAAAGCGAATGAAGAGTTCGGCTGGGGCTGAGAAATGTGCCATGTGATGCTTGCTGCACTGGAGAATCGTGAACCGCCTTATCGCCTCTATCTTATCGCCTTTTGATCAATGACCTTGGTTTGCTGACAATGTCACATATGAGAGTTCCAACTCAATATCTATTTGTTTATTTTAAGTTAAGTTAATCGAAGCCAGATATGCAATAACGCCCAGTCACCAAGCCTAATATCAATTAAAAGGGTTCGACCAAGGCGTTCCGATAAAAAAAATATATCGGTTGGGTAATTTTGAGGAAACCCTTATTTTACAAAAAAATACTTCAGGTATGACCAGGGACGTACAACACGTCCCATGTAAGGCTTTAGCATGGAAATGCGATTCGTCGCAGACTCGGGCAAAAGTGAAAAGACTCGCGAAATGCAATAATTTGAAAGAAAATAATTTGTTGGTGATTTCACCCACCCTTGCTCTCTCCTAAAAAATCCACCCTCTTGTTAACAACAACTGGAAGTGGTGATGCTGACGTCACGTGATCCCTCGAACAAAGATGGACGATGGGTGGTTGATGGCGGATATTAAAAGGATGCACTGAGGCACGTTATAGCACAGGTGTGGAGCCTTTTCAGTGCGGGAGTCAATGCTTTATATTGTGTTTCTCTGAATAACTTATGGGAAGATGTGGTTAGTCTTCATCCTCATCACTATATTTTGCCGCATCTGATCAGCCAGGCGTGACGACCGACTGGGTGAATTCTTCTGCTTGACGTTCCACAACACGAGACTGAACGCTGTCGATGTATTCAATTGGTAATTCACCAGGAAGGGTGTGCAGTCGCGTTTATTGGGCCTTCCAGGTACTCTAAAACCTGATTCTAATCAAACCTGGTGTTTGCACTGTACACTTCATCTGTCAACCCCATAAAACCTGGCCAGGGCCGTACAAATACCCTAATCAAACATCCGGGGTAGTGATGCTGGTCTAGCGCCTAGCAACCACTTATTATCTAGGGGTAATTCTGGGCCCTATCCTAACACGAGCTCCTATCTCGGCGGCGGAACACCTGCATCATCCGAGAGGAGAGTGTCGGCATGCTGCGCGAGGTTTATCGCAAGTGTATGATGACACAGGTATGATGGGGCTGGTTTACGACACACTACAGGTATATTTGGCGATAACGGCTCCAGCGGGAAACTCGAGGACAAAGGCTAGTCCATATAGCTGGCCTGTATACAAGCCCAGCATCATCTAGTCAGGTCGTGAATATTTCATAGCCCGCCGTGATGGACGGTTAATTTAGTGTCATACCGGAGATGTCAGGTAGCCTTTACCTGTATCTCCGAACAGTCTGGACGTATCTGTGAGGATGAGGATGAAGGAGGTTATTTATACCGACACACTAGTAATTTGATAATTGCGTGTACCATCTGGTGTCGGTGGAGTGAAATTACAGGTTCACAATTGAAGGCCCTTCCAATTCAAACTTTTTAAAAATTTTTTTATAAAAATTGTAAATATGAGCTTCAGCTGGCTCTGACAGGTATAAACATTTGAAAAATAAGCAAACCATCAGACATCTATTGTCAACAAACATCTTCCTTTTCTACACATGTACTGCTAAAGTGTGCCCACGCATGTATCTAGTATCAAATATATTAAATATAGTCGGCAGGTGAGGCTGTATAGATTAGGGATGAAGATACACCTGTTGTATCTGGGAACAGGTCCGACAGGTATATAACGGTAGGTATATAAATGACATGGTTCGACACGATGAATCCTAATCGGCCAGTCTACCCTACTTCTAATCACCGGCTTTTCACACCCTTTAACTAATTAAAGGTGACACGCCATTTACCTGTGTCAGTCCAAGACACTATAACAACATGTGCTAGTCTCGGGAGCTAGGGTTGTTAGGAGGTAGCGGACTGTCCGGAGGGGGGGTTACACAATCAACATGTATGACCACCCCACACAAACAATCACATCAACAAACAATCTATTGTTTGTAACAGAACAAAAATACCTACACATAATACACAAATTTCAAAATTACGTTAAAAATATATGAAAACTAGACACATTCAAGATAAATCATCTAATTTAATAAGTAAGGAGAGATCGCCTGGTACCTGTCGAAACACAGGTGGTACTTTGTGGGAGTGCGTACCTGTCGATATCGTCACAGGTGATGAGGATAACGTGAGTCAGACACACAAAGTCACGCACTGGGAACTTTAGCGGGAGAAAAGATACAGCGATACCGCGAGACATGTGGGAGAGGTTCGGTGCTCGAGAGGACAGGTACCTTGGTATATACACTGCATCCGTCCCACAGCAACATGTAAACCAGCTACCCAAACACGACACCGTGTCAAACACAATCACACACAATAAACAACTTCCATATTTCAAATTACCCACTCTCATCTTCATCCCGTGTCTCATTTAAATTTGACACGCATGTACACAATACTATATATATATATATATAACATGACGCGTACCTGTCTCAACCCCCTTCATCCCAAAAATTCAAGATTCAGGGATTGAGGTCACGGTGTGATTAATCTTCACACAACAAAAGCTTAATTCGTCAAACATTCCTTTAGATCCATTTCAGCTTCCCTATAGTTCAGGTATCTTAGCCGACAGGTAAACACACCTGAATCGTTAATTTACATGTACCTGGCGTTGGTCCATATAAGTACATACTATACAACCAGGTAGAAACTTCAACAAAAGTTATGTACGGGAGATGACATGACATAACTGTCTTCGAGTAGCTTTCGGTTTAGCTGAATAATTAATTATAAATAGTGGACTTACCTTTCAGAGGCCTAGGGTTGGCCTGTTTTCTCCTGGACATGATGCGATACTACGGACTGCTGTTCATCCGCTCGGATGTGAAAATGACCAAGATGATTCTTGGAGCATGCGTGCTGCCTCACTGTCGGGGCACACGAAGGGATCCACTTTACACAATACCTGTTGAACAGGCTATGAATAATTAGCCAATGAGGCTGAAACGCATTAGAACAGGTAACCATGTACGTACCTGTTAGAGTGGGATTACCTGTGATTAGTTGTTTACAGGTAAAAAATGTTACAAACAATCTAAAAATGTAAGAAGATGTTATGTTTGTGTATATGTATTGTGTAACGGGTAGGACTTTATCGATCTGTTAACAGACGATAAAATGGTCCTTACTCCCACTGTAGCCCAATACCAAACGATCTACCTGTTACCGGGTATAGGATTATTAATAACGATAGACACAAACCGCTGAAATGTCTGTGTTTGTCTACCCCAAATAATAGTCAATATTTTAAGATGGTTGACTATTAAGATGCCATAGAATGGAGATAGGAGATCTCTGCAGTAATTGGATTTTCTAGATGTATTGTGACGTAGATCATAATATAATTTTGTTCTGTTAACTAGAAATGAAATTCATCTTTTTATCCTGTTACTAATAAATAAATTTGATTGGAAAATTTAAGATAATTATATTTTTTTATTTCTTTTTTTATTGGAAGGGGAAGATATTTAAAGTTGATGATAATTGTTATGTAAATCGAAAAATTAACATAAAGTATTTGAAAAATTAAATAATAATGGAGTATCTTTAATGTATGAATGTTCCAATACTCCTCAGTTACTAATTAGGAAAAAAACTTGCTTCTTAAAAATAATATTAAAATTAACAATGCACGGTGCTGTTTAGTAATATTTGAGTTTACATGTACGCACTGCCAACATATCAGTTAGATACCTATTGAAATAAGCTTTGTTATTTATTAATATATTAATTATTCGCTGACTTTGGTGAATTAATTTGCCATCTTTGGTTTCCAATTACGACAACGTTTATATACTTTTTATACTGCTTATTTGCAATAACTTATCTAATTTTAAAGCAGTTTCTAAAATTATGAAAAAAAACAGATGTCAGACGGCATTGAGAAAAAGCAATATTAAATATCAATAAAGTGGTTTCATTATTATATCAAATTTGTCGTAAAATATTATTCTTAATTGCCGACCAATAACCTTGGTTATAAGATAAATTTTAACAATTAATAACTTGGCAAACTAACTTTTTTTTTGGGTGGGGGGGAGGAGAATCTTCTAATTGATAAATTCCTTTGTGTTTATCACTCAATTAATTTTCTGGCCAACATTCATATCAATGATCCGGTTAAGTAACCTGTCGACTTGAGATGAAATTTATAACATACAGTTGTTGACAACCATAATCAATATTAAGACTAATTTTTTGTAAACTTCTATCGTGAGAACAACTCAGGTGCCACAGAAACTAGCTTAATTATGACCTTATTATCTTTATTTTAATTGGCGCCCCCGTGTGGAACCCCGTATCGTCATGCCTCGCAGCCTCAGATCTCCAACCAAAACTTGTCCCATCCTGTTCAATGACTGAGTAGAATTCGGCTTTCACTCCACTCTGGCAATGTCCACTGACAATAGCTGACTAATTTTACCTGGCTCTGCAGGTAAACTCTTTGAAGTCTACCTGTATATCTACTTCACACCTGTATCTACTGCACATTTGGACATGACACCTGAAACAATAGCTTGTGTGACGTGTCCTGGAACGAGTACATTCATTTCGTCATCAATGAAGTAAAGTATATTTGATAAAATCACAACACAATTAGAATAACATAGATGTATCATTGATGTATATCTTGAAGGTATTGCAATATACGCCATCTCACTGGGATCGACCAGGGAGCGTCGTGATGCCGGACAAAGTAATTATACACAGGGTATTGTTCGCCAGTCGTTTACTTAGCACACCGAACAAACATCAGCACTGAAAGCATGGAAAGCCCACTGTACCCGACCATCAGTGTTGAAGAAGTTTAAATTAGGATGTTAAAAAGTTGGTTATTGATCCCGTGTAGAACGGGTAGATGGCAGTTGTGTGTATATATAAACATGTTATTGGCAGGCACACATGTCGATAACTGTCCATGTTTAATTTATGGCTAGGATGTATTTGAAAAAAAATTATGTACATTTAGTTTGAAGTCGTGTTGGGACACGAGAATTGTACCCAGTTTGTATAAGGAAGAAGTTGTGGTATCTTGGGTACAGTTATATACTCTCCACACCTCGTCTATCACCACCAAATAAGGATGTCATTCAAATTCCGGGGTATATAGAGGTTTGAAAGCACATCGCTATTTAAATAACGGATAATATACCTAAAACCTTATTGTACGGTCTGAATGCGAGTAATTGCCCAATTTTCTTCGTATCAAGTGGAAAAACTTCAGTCGTTCTCGTTCCCCCAAGGACGATAAACAAAGGTTTCATTCAAAACGGAACGTCACTATTACGGACAGAAATACCGTTAGGTGCCATATCTCTCTTTGATGGAAAGGTGAGTCGGCCCCGGGGAAAAATTCGGCCTCAGTAGACGATCTACCCGTTTCAGGAGATACCCAGTCGAGATAGTGGACTATTCGTCTTTACGCCTGGGTAGATGCTTATAGTTAAGAGCTTGGGTCCAATTAAAAGTCTTGTTCTTTTTGTACGTGTCCATGGATGATATATATGTTTAAATCAGTGTCGATATCCTGTGTCAAAGAGCCTGTGAACGGGTACTGAAACGTACTCGGAATATTTAACATGAAAGACCCAAGAGATGAATTGTCGTCCCAGGATCAATCAACCCATCTCTACATCGAAATAGTGATGTGTTTTTCTTTAGATATCGCTCCAAACATTAAAGCCACTTGACGAAGAAATGATGTATATTTCACTCATGCAGGAAAAAAAGCCGGCTTTCATTCCGATTTCGGATGAAAACCAAAATATTTGTACAAGCCAAATGAAAGAATATTAATTACCCCATATCATTAATTGCATTCAAGATCTCATCATCGCTTTAATGAGCCGTAAAACCAATCTCACACGCTCTTGTGAGATAGAGTAAGCTATTGAAAATACCAGAAGATACGCTCCATTGAATTCCGACATATGTAAGAATCACAACATCACAACAAGATGTGTATTCCTTCCAGTCTGTGTCTCCAAGATTTAAGTCTGAGTAACAGTAACTATGACATTGGACAACAGTGATATAAAGCGGAGGAAGCTGGGCCATCTTGGATGTCATCAACACTTTTTCATGTGTTCTAGTCTTTATTGTCTGATGTCAAACCAAAACGAATCATTACTGGTATTGGAAGGACCATTCTCCAAATAGTTCTCACCGAGTATAACCTCCCCTGTATATAATCTCCCCTGTGCATAACCTCACCTGTACATAACATCTCATGTATATAACCTCCCCTATATATAACCTACCCTGTATATAACCTCCCCTGTATATATATAACATCCCCTGTATATAACCTCCCCTGTATATAACCTCCCCTGTATATATATAACATCCCCTGTATATATCCTCCCCTGTATACAACTTCCCCTGTATATAACATCCCCTGTATATAACCTCCCTTGTATATAACCTCACCTGTATATATCCTCCCCTGTATATAACCTCACCTGTACATAACATCTCATGTATATAACCTCCCCTGTATATAACCTCCCCTGTATATATCCTCCTCTGTAATAACCTCCCCTGTATATAACCTCCCCTGTATATATCCTCCCCTGTATATAACATCCCTTGTATATAACCTCACCTGTACATAACATCTCATGTATATAACTTCCCCTGTATATAGCCTCCGCTGTATATAACCTCTCCTGTATATAATCTCTCCTGTATATATCCTCCCCTGTATATATCCTCCCCTGTATATATCCTCCGCTGTATATAACTTCCCCTGTATATAACTTCCCCTGTATATATCCTCCCCTGTATATAACTTCCCCTGTATATAACTTCCCCTGTATATAATCTCTCCTGTATATATCCTCCCCTGTATATATCCTCCCCTGTATATAACTTCCCCTGTATATAACCTCTCCTGTATATAACCTCTCCTGTATATATCCTCCCCTGTATATAACCTCTCCTGTATATATCCTCCCCTGTATATAACATCCCCTGTATATAACCTCCCTTGTATATAACCTCACCTGTATATAACCTCCCCTGTATATAACCTCCGCTGTATATAACCTCACCTGTATATAACCTCCCCTGTATATAACTTCCCCTGTATATAATCTCTCCTGTATATATCCTCCTCTGTAATAACCTCCCCTGTATATAACCTCTCCTGTATATAACCTCACCTGTACATAACATCCCCTGTATATAACCTCCCTTGTATATAACCTCCCCTGTATATAACTTCCCCTGTATATAACCTCACCTGTATATAACCTCCCCTGTATATAACCTCCCCTGTATATAACCTCTCCTGTATATATCCTCCCCTGTAGATAACATCCCCTGTATATAACCTCCCCTGTATATAACCTCACCTGTATATAATCTCTCCTGTATATATCCTCCCCTGTATATAACTTCCCCTGTATATAACTTCCCCTGTATATAACCTCTCCTGTATATATCCTCCTCTGTAATAACCTCCCCTGTATATAACCTCTCCTGTATATAACCTCACCTGTACATAACATCCCCTGTATATAACCTCCCTTGTATATAACCTCCCCTGTATATAACCTCCGCTGTATATAACCTCACCTGTATATAACCTCCCGTGTATATAACCTCTCCTGTATATATCCTCCCCTGTAGATAACATCCCCTGTATATAACCTCCCCTGTATATAACCTCACCTGTATATAACCTCCCCTGTATATAACCTCTCCTGTATATATCCTCCCCTGTATATAACATCCCCTGTATATAACATCCCCTGTATATAACCTCGCCTGTATAAAACCTCCC